ATGGATGGATGGGTGGATAGATGGAGTTGGATGGATAGATGGATGCATGGATGGATGGATGGATGGAAGAATGGATGGATGGGTGGATGGATGGATGGATGGATGGATGGGTGGATGGATAGATGGATGGATGGGTGGATGGATAGATGGATGGATGTAGTTGGATGGATGGATGTAGTTGGATGGATGATGGATGGGTGGATGGATGGTACATTTTCAGAGAATATGCCCAGTGAGCTGCAGATGACTGAAGTTTGTTGAAGCTGAAACTGAGCAGTTAAAGCACAAAGGAGCTGAACATGAGCTAAAAGCTAACAGGGACCAAACACTAACTAAAAGCTAAAAGAAGCAGAACACAAGCTAAAACCAAATGTGACAAAACACCTGCTAAGAGACAAAGGTAACAAAAGACTAGCCAAAACTGAAAGTAGTAGAGTGGTAGCTAAAAGCTAAAAGTAGCAAAATGTTAACTAGATGTTAAAAGCAACAAAGGGATAGCTAATAGCTCCTAAAAGCTGAGCTTAACAAAAAGGAGAGTAAAAGCTATGATGACAACAAACGAGATAAGAGGTCAAAGTAGTGGAGGCCAGGTGCAGTCGCCTTTTTTCCACGTGATCGCCCTCACAACATGAAAAGACGGGCGGTTTTTCCAGATCCTCTTTTCGCTGCTCAGCGATGGACAACAGAAGAATAAAAGAGTCGAGGACAGAAGCAGCAGGACGACACAAACAGGACACAAGTTTAGAGTCCACCCTCAGTCCTACACTCGCGTCGTTCCTCTCCTCGAGCTCATCGACGAACCGCAGCAGTTTCCACCGGCGTTCGTCAACAGCACCGGTGGCGGTCGTTGTTAATCTGGGCCTCGACCGATCCGGGCCGGCGTTTTTTTAAACTCCCAGGAAGTAATTCACAGATCTACAACTGACCGAACCCTGAAGGCAACCTGGTTCAAGATGGCTGCCGCAGCCAACTGACCTGAGGGCACAGACGATGGCCATGACTGTTGAGTTCAAGTGGGGTAGTAGCTGAGAGTCATTCTCAACACGAACTCTGAGCGTCATGTCAGAACAGTGTCGGCCCGTCCTGTGGACACCGTGAGACATGGCCGACGTCCTTCTCAGGTGTTTTTCTTGCTGATGTGCTCGTTACGCTGCCCGAGTCTCCGTGGAGTTGAAGGTTTAAAAGCAGCTGCAGACGAGGCGAACGGCAGCTCGTCTGCGACACCCTGCAGCACCATGATCAACTCCACGCAGCTTTTATATTTCACTCTGAGTGCGTACGTTGACTCTGGACCGTTCAGATACCTGAACTTTGTGCTCATCATGTGTCTGTATGTTCTGATCGTTGGCTGCAACGTTCTGCTGATCGTGGTCATCTGTGTGAGCAGGAGTCTGCATGAACCCATGTACATGTTTCTGTGCAGCCTGTTTGTGAATGAGCTGTACGGAAGCTCAGGCTTGTTTCCGTTCCTGCTGCTCCAGGTTCTGTTGGACGTTCACGTCATTTCTGCTCCGCTCTGTTTCCTGCAGGTCTTCTGTGTTTACACTTACGGAATCGTAGAAATTGTAAATCTAGCCGTCATGTCTTACGACAGGTACGTTGCCATCTGTTTCCCTCTGCACTACAACGCCTTGATGACTTCTAAAAAGGTTGCAGTGCTCATCGCTCTCACGTGGCTGTGTCCGTTCGTTGCCATCGTGGTTCTGCTCGCTCTGAGCGCGCCGCTGCAGCGCTGCGGGAACACCATCGACAAGGTCTACTGCGGAAACTACGCCATCGTCAAGCTGAGCTGCTCCAACACCAGCCTCAACAACGTTTTAGGGCTCATTTACACGGTCGTGTCCATTGTCATTCCTCTCTGTTTAATCCTTTACACGTATACAAAGATTCTGGAAGTGTGTTTCTCTGGATCCAAAGTGACCCGGCAGAAAGCCCTCAGCACCTGCACGCCTCACCTGGCCTCCATCCTGAACTTTTCTTTCGGCTGCTGTTTTCAGATTTTACAGAGCAGGTTCGAGACGAGCAGAGTTCCTGCCGTGCTGGCCATCTTCTTATCCGTGTACTTCCTGACATGCCCGCCGCTCTTGAACCCGGTTCTGTACGGACTGAACATGAGCTCGATCCGAAACGCGCTGAGACGCCTGCTGTGTGGAGGAAACACAAATCCACCAACAGATTTATTCAGCTCAGCGTTTTATTCCTGATTATGAGAAGTGACGACCTGAAAACGTTTCTTAAACACGTGCCTTAAATTCAGCTCATGCACATGTTTTTGTTTTACCTGAACCAAAAATGACTTTTTATTAAAATGAACTCATTTATTTTAATTGAACTTTTAAAAGGGAAAATGAAAAATAACAGTTTCTTTATTTTTCATCACTTTTGCTAACACCTTGACGTCAAAATCTTTTTCTTTCTGACACAAAGTATATAATTTAGGGTTCCTTTTTAGTTTTAAATGTAAAGAAGCAAAACGTTCAGTTTGTAAGTGGAAACTTGTAAAACTATTCAGTTATTTTCTGATATTTGTCTGTGCACAGTCATTCATGCACAAACATTTTTACTGTGAAAACAAATCATTTAATAATGATTATTTTTCCACAGACTCAATGTAATTATTTTAATTCTCTCTCATCTTCAGTTTATAATGTGTATATTTAAAAAAACAGATTTTATGAGTTATTTGTGAATCAGTCCAGAAGAGAAACAGCGAACACGTCAGTTTTGTGCTTTCTTCATGAAAAAGGCTGGTCATAAATATTAATAACTTTGTTTTATTTGTGGAACAAAACTTACTACATGAGCACAACTTACAAATAATCTACATATTAGTGTTTAGTGTAATTTGTTTTTATCTTAGGTATTTTATTATGTCTTTTTGTATGTTTGTAAAAGCTTGATTTAATTGCAATGTTTTAAGTGTGGACCCCAGGAAGAATAGTCTCTACTATGGTAGAAACTAATGGGGATCCTTAAATAAACAAATAAACAAAATATTAGTGTTGTTTGTCAATAATGTTTGTTTATGTGGAAACTGTGTGCAGGACGTCACAGCTCCACACATTTACAGAATCAGATTTTATTGTCATTTTTATTTTAAACTTATTTTTTAGGGCCTTATTCGGGTTAGATGCAAACATTTACTGATAATTTACAATTAAAGTCTGTTATTAAACATTAAAACCAGTGACACAACATCTGTATGCTTCAAAACAAACAAATAAAAAAACTAAACACAAAAGATGAATGACGTCTTCTGAATTAAAAATGATCTATTGTTGCTCTAATGAATCAGGATGATCATTTTTGTAATTATGTTCCCATTTAGTAAAACGAGAGAAAGCAACAAGACAGAGTCCATGTGTGGATGAGAGGGAGGAGGTGGAACAGTGAGGCCACAAGGAGCAGAGGTCAAAGGTGCAGGACTTCAAGGACTTGGGGTCCACTGTCCAGGAACATGGGGAGTGTGGTGAAGAGGTGAAGAAGAGAGTCCAGGCAGGATGGAGTGATGGAGAAAAGTTTCAGGAGGGATTTGTGACTAAAGGGTGTCAGCAAAGGTCAAAGGTGAGACCAGCTATGTTGTATGGTCTGGAGACAGAGACATGGACAAAAAGACAGGAGACAGAACTGGAAGTAGTAGAAATGAAGATGTTGAGGTTCTCCTTAGGAGAGACGAGGATGGAGAAGATCAGGAATGAGATCATCACAGGTACAGCACAGGTTGAACAACTGGGAGATAAAGTTAGAGAGGACACACTGAGATGGTTTGGACATGTCCAGAGGAGGGACAGTGGGTATATCGGAAATGCAGCTGCCAGGAAAAAGACATAGGAGATAAATGGGTGCAGATAGAGAGGACATGAAGGTAGTTGGAGTGAGGACAAAGTGAGATGGAGGAGGAGGACTCGCTGTGACCCTTGAAGAGAGAAAAGTTGAAAGAAGATGAAGTGAAAAAAGCTTTTGCTCAAACTCCCCTGACTGGTATATCTCCTAACTTTTCATGAGTTCTTTCAGACTTCACATGGGGCTCAAACTTATTTTCATAGAGATCCAAAATTTAAACTTAATCAAGGGACGTCCTGATTCATGCTCAATAATCCAGATAGAAAAATCTAACAAAGTTTAGTCACGTCCTCTGGACAGATTCTTCTTTGTTGAAACGTTTCGCCTTTTATCCAAAAGACTTCGCCAGTCTGAGGAAGTCTCTGACAGAGAAATATATATAGAAATATATATATATATATATATATATATATAAATAAAATTAAATTTTTTTCTTTTTTTCGTCTGCTCCCTGCGTTAGGGGTCGCCACAGCGAACTAAGTCGCACAAACTTGGCAGTTATTTTTACGCCGGATGTTCTTCATGACGCAACCACAGACACCGAGCTACCACAGCCTCTGGGTGGAGCAGAGAGCTGCATCTAGGTCACCCGGAGGACCAGATGGTGGGGCTTAAGAGCCTTGCTCAAGGGCCCAGAGTGGAGTGAATGAGGGTGGGGGCAGGTGTGGGTGCTTCACCTACCCCCCCCCCCCCACACACATTTTTGATGTCAGTACCGGGGCTTGAACTGGCGATCTTCCGATCACAGGCCCACTTTCTCTAACCTCTGCGCCACCACTCCCCTATGTTATATAATATATAATTGTCACGATTGGTGCTGGTGAACCCAGTGTGCAGGCAAGCAGGCGAGGACTCAGGATTTATATAAAAACAAAAGATTTATTAACAAAACAAAAGAGCTGACAGGGCAGCAAAAACAAACAAGGATGGACTGGTGGTACTTACAGACAGGTCATCAACAGTGAGCAGTACACAATGTCAGGACAAACACTAACACAGAGACACAGACTTATATAGAGAGAAACACTGATATGACAAATTGAAGGCACCTGTGAGTGATCACAGATGCCAGGAGACAGAGACTGAGGATGCAGGACATAAACACGACACAAGATGGGGCCAGACACCAAAGAAACACAAACCCTGACAAGACATAAACAGTGGATCAGGAAAACACAGACATGAACACAACACCAAGGACAAAACCACAATTCCTACAATAATATTGAATATCAAATAACTATTGATCAATCTCTAAACTCTGCATTTTAGCTAAGGTTCTAGAAAAACTGATAAACTCTTAAATCAAGAAGTATCTGGACTAATTTAACATCTTACCTTTCCATCAATCTGGTTTCAGGAAACATCACAGCACGACTGCTTCACTGAAGGTTTTTAATGATGTTGAAGCACTGGATGCTAAGGATTATTGTGCTGCACTTTTCTTAGACCTGTCTAAAGATTTTGACACTGTGGATCATAACATCTTGTGTCATAAACTCTCAGAAATTGGTTTCTCAGAACACACCATTGTTTGGTTCTCTGACTATCTTTCAGATTGGAGGCATTGTGTTCCTCCAGTTATTTAACGGTTAACAATGGTGTACCAGAAGGCTCAGTCTTAGGATGCACCCTCTTCACAATCTACATACATAATACGTAATATAGGTCAGACCATCCCTGATGCATCCTTACATTTCTATGCTGATGACACAGTTGTTTATTGTTGAGCTAAAACAGTTGCTAAGGCTTTCCAGCTTTTGAAATCTGCTTTTAACATCATCCAGTCAGACTTGTTCCACCTCAAACTTTTCCTAAATGCCGACAAAACCAAAGGGATGCTTTTTTCAAATAGGAAGTTGGTCCCAGCAGTTCTTCCTTTGATTTTATCCTCAAATGGTGTCCCCATTGAGTTTCTTGATTCCTATAAATATTTGGGTATCTTAGTTGACTCGCATCTCTCTTTTAAGCTTCATCTGGAAAACTTGGTAAAGAAACTGAAAGTTAAAGTGGGTTTCTTTTTCAGAAACAGATCCTGTCTAACTCTGAATG